CAGGAATGCCCTGTGGCAGGGCAGTGCTGCTCACTGTCCAGCACTGCCCGTGCCCAGACATCTTCTCCCCACCACAGGGGATCACTTCTACAAGCGGAACAAGAACCTTCCTCCAGAGGAGCAGATGATCTCTGCCTTGCCTGACATCAAAGTGCTGACAATAAACGATGACCACGACTTCATGGTGATTGCTTGTGATGGAATCTGGTGAGTGCTGAGGGAGCTGTTGTGCCTCTGGGGCATCACTGCTCCAGCCTTTCTCCAGAGCTGTTGGACACTGTGGCATAGGTGCTCCCTTCTCCTGCCCTTCTGACCTCTCTGCTCTGCAGGAATGTGATGAGCAGCCAGGAGGTGGTGGATTTCATCCAGTCCAAGATCACCCAGAAGGATGAGAACGGAGTCCTGCGACCACTCTCCTCCATTGTAGAAGAGGTAAGAGCTGGRGCTCTGCTGTCCCTGCAGCAGCATGGTGTTTGTGTGTCCCAGCTCAGTGCCTGGCTCTGCCCTCCCGCTCCCTCAGATGGGTGGTCTGTGCACTCCAGCCACTGTCTGACCTCGGGCTGCTCTCCAGCCAAAGGAGTTTCTGCCCACATTCAGAAACCTGGGCTTGCCAAGGCCATCTCTGGCCCTTGTCTGGTGGGAGCAGCATTTGACTGTCCTGGACAGGTCTGGCCTGCCTCAGGCAGCCCCTGAGCCTCTGTCAGGTGCTGGAACAGGCCCAGTGTTTGTGCTCTGTGCTGGTGTGCCCTGTCCCTCCTGGCAGCCCCTGCCAGGCCCAGTGTTTGTGCTCTGTGCTGATGTGCCCTGTCCCTCCTGGCAGCCCCTGAGCCTCTGTCAGTACCCTGGGCTGGTCCCAGTGCCTCGGGCTGGTCCCAGTGCCTCGGGCTGGTTTTAGTGTGTGTCTGTGCTCTGTGCTGATGTGCCCTGTCCCTCCTGGCAGTCCCTGAGCCTCTCTCAGTGCCTCGGGCTGGTTTTAGTGTGTGTCTCCTCTCTGCTGATGTGCCCTGTCCCTCCTGGCAGCCCCTGAGCCTCTCTCAGTGCCTCGGGCTGGTTTTAGTGTGTGTCTGTGCTCTGTGCTGATGTGCCCTGTCCCTCCGTAGCTGCTGGATCAGTGCTTGGCTCCAGACACCTCAGGGGATGGCACCGGCTGTGATAACATGACCTGCATCATTATCAGCTTCAARCCCCGTAACACACACCCACCTGCCGAGAGTGGGAAGCGGAAATTGGGGGAGGCRGCGGCACCAGCGGAGGAGAATGGTGGGGACAGCACCAAGAAGGCCAAACTGGAGTAGCAGGGCCCACCCCAGGACTGGGCTGTGCTCACCAGACTCTCGTTTCTTACCCATGCTGAACTCAAGACTCGAGTCTTGTCCTTTTTTTAGCCTTAGCAGAGGCCTTGTTTGTCCGTGTCCTGGTGGGGTGGGGGCGGGTCTGGATAGAGGGAATGTTGCACCGTTCATCTGTAACCATTCCAAAGAGGGAGAGGACGGAGCTGCGCCCGTGCTGAGGAGGAGGAGGAGGAGGAGGTCCCCCCATTGTCTCCATGTGGTTGTTGCCATTTCTGTGCCTGTGAATTTCTGTTTGGAGGGAAGAACTTTTTCACTGTTGAGGTTTTTTTAATCTGCACCCAATTATTTAAGGCCCTTTCTGTTTTTATTTGTGAAACAATCTGGCGGTGGTGCTGTGGCCACGCCATGTTCGGTTGTACACTTTCAATCAATACTTTTTTCAAACTAAAAGACCAGAAAATACAGCCGTGGTCTTGGTCCTTGGTTCTTTCCTGGTGGGGTGGGGAGGAGAACATTTGTCCCTGGGCTCTTGGATCAGTGCAGGGCTTTGGCCTGTGGCTCCCWGTTCCTCCAGTGGCTCTTCTGAGGAGTCTCACACAGAGCAGAGATGAGCATCTGGAAAGAGTCTGTGTCTGCTGCAGGGGTGGGGGTACAGTCACRCCCCTGAGCTCACCTGTCCAGGTGTGGAGGAGGCAGCTCCTCCCTGATGCACAGATCGTGCAAGGTGTGTCAATAGTGTGGCTGCTCCTGCAGGAGTGCAGCCTCTGAGCTGTGAAAAACTGATGGAAGGGTGGGCTGTACACGTGGGCTCTCCCTGTGCAGCAGAAAGCCCATGGCCACACCAAACCACTGGAAAAGCAGAGCCCTCTGTGGTGGTCCATTATTTCTTGGCCTTTTTACAAAGAACGGGGCCTTTTGTGTTGGTTTCTCACAAYTGTTCTTTCCCCCAGTCTGTCCTTGTGCCATACCCTGGAGCAGGATTCCTGCCCCAGATTCCATGGGAGCTGCAGGCTCTGTGGGCAGCAGA